AAATTTGACTGGAGCAAAGGGCATATTAGTGTGAGGAAAAGCTAGAAGGACAGGTGGAAACCAGATTATGGAGAGATAGACTAAAAACCTATAGATATTACTAACTGTGTGACCTTGGGCTCACTAATAGTAATCACTCACCCTCTCAGAGTTTTAGTTTTCTTATTTGTAAAACAGAGATAATGTTCTATCTACCTCACAGAGTTGTGGTTCATATTTTTTGTTTTTTTGTCTTCACATTGCTAGCACTTAGCACAACTACAGCTTAATGTTGTTTCACGCTAAGACCCTAGAGAAAATTTCATAATAAGACTGTATTGCATACACTGGAGGATACTGCTTTTAAAAACCTAATCCAAAACCAGGAGCAGGAATATGTAAAGGCCCTAAATGCCCATCAGGAAGCAGGTGGTTCCCTTAGGCACAAATGCCTGGTCTAATGCCATGCCAAGGGAGTGGGATTGATGGGACCAGACCCGGCTGATGGTGTCTGAGAAATCCTGTCATCCTTCAGGAGCCATTAAGGTACTCTGTGAAATTCCTTTGCCACTGATGACATGATCAAATTGTTTTGACTTCTTGAAACAAAATAGGGGCTTTCAGTCCACACAAGCTAATGGTTAACAGAAAAGAGGAAACCTATCAAAGGAACGAGCACATAAGCCCCTGTATTAGTATAGACCAGATCCAGGCTGGTCTTCTGGTAGCTTGGTTCCAAAATCTGAATGAACTGTTAAATTAAAAAAAAAGATATGTAGGGATAGATAGATATTTAGATATTTAGACAGACAGATAGACAGATAGATAGATAGATAGATAGATAGATAGATAGATAGATAGATAGATAGATAGATAGATGGATGGATGACACCCAGGCTTCTCACAGCTTGTCTACCATAGAGTCTGCTTGGTCCCCTACCATCTGGGTAGTGGGGAATAGCCTCCTTTGATTGGCTGCCCATGTCTTTTATCCTCAAAAAGGATAGGGAGCTATTCACTCTCTTTTCTTCATAACTGTTTAGCTATTTAAACTATTTAAACACGATTGGTTTCCTTGATAATGTGATGTTCCATTTAATGCATTAAGAACATTATTCTGAGAAGGGATTTATAGACTTCATGAAACTGTCAGTGGCCCCAAAAGGTAACAGAACCCTTATTTAACTAACATTTAATGAAAGCGGTCTAATTTAGTCTTTGCAGAGGAAGAATGTTCAGAGCAGAGAAGGGATGTTCAGCCATGATAAAGCACTGAGTCAGTTGAGCAAGGCTTCTCAGCCTCGTTCACGTTGCTTGTCTTTGGTCTCAAGCCTCAGGAGGGGTGCTCCAGCCACTCCTATCCAAGCTACTTTATATCCAGGTGATCAGGAAGGTACATCAATAGCTAGAGCCTTCCTTGACTCAATTAACTTTCAAGGATGGTTTCAGCACTTGCCAAGGAAAAACTCACCTAATTTTCAGGAGGGGCAAGTTATGGTATTGTTCCCACCACACCTCTGCTAATACTCAAGGTTTCCAATGTGTTCCTTTTTTACCCAGTCCGGTGCATGTGCATTTTTCTTAGTAGGAACCATGTTTGGGACACACCTGGGGGATGGGGAGGATCAGTGCATACATACGTGGGAAGGGAAGCACAAGGATGGTGGAAACGGAATTGGGTGTGGGTGGAGTGATAAAATGTGCTTGAGGCTGTAGGTAACAGATACAGAAAGGCTAGAACACAATGGGCAGTGACAAACAGGAAGGGCACAATGACTGAAAGACAGATAGATACAGAGGAAGATGCCAAGAGACCAAAAGTTGGAGTAAGGAACGTGTGTCTCTGGGGCATGAGATGAAATGTGTCTCTTTTGTTTCTGTGCGTTTCATGCTCCTGGATTTTTTTGGTTTTGAAAAATTGGGACAGTTGAATCTCTTTGATTATGCTCAGTGTATTTTTCAGAAATAAGTGTTCCAAAGAGAATTTCACTTTGAGGTTTATGTTCTGAATTTTGAAGAAGTATTGTATTGCATCATAAGGAAATGTGAAAATACCTTTCCAACGATGAGTGCACTGAAATGACTGAGATTGTGTACTGTAAACTAAATCACTTAGGATCACAAATTATTAAGCATAACCTTCTCATTTTAGGGATAAGGGAACTTAGGCCCACAGAGATTAAATGAATTGACCAGAGTCTCTCATGTGGTCAGTGTCAAGAGATAGGATTCAAACTTAGGTCTGGTGAATCCAATTTCAGAATTGCACATTCATCATTTCTCGCTCCCAGGAAGGTATGTAAACACCCTGCAAAGATTAGCATGTTTCCACCTAATAGAGAAGGATAGTCACTCATACATTTTTAATACTTATCTTTATTATGAAAGTGTTTTCAAAGTAAAATAATCCACAATAATGATTGATTCCAGAGATTCAATGATGAACAATTACATTTTCCATATTAAAAAAATCATCAAAACACAAAGTAACTCCCAAAGTTCAGTTATGCACGATATCAATATCATAAAAGAATTCTAATAAGCTAACCATACTTCACTCCATTTCTGAGAGCTGCTCAAACACAGATTTGTCTGAATCACACAGGTGATGCCATATCATCTGTTCCATTCCTCACTGCAGGTTAAAAGAAGAACACTACACCCCAAATGCACCATGACCAAAATGACGATGGAGGCAAACATCTGTGCAAACAAGACTTAAACTATCTCCAGACACATCCAGACTGTGTTCTTTATAACTACTATTGGAAGTCCCCAGCTTTCTAAAGTCAGTTCCATCAATCCCAGTTTCTAAAGCTTCCATGGCAACTCTGAAAATAAAAGTCCTTTTGGTGAAACACTATTTCCTACTGAACATATAATCCATACAGACAGCTCCTGTTTTGTGATGTCAAGGCAACTGCAGTTTGTATACAGTATTCTGGAAAGTGAGGGTTACTCAAGTTTGTGTTGGAAGGGACTGGACGCTGTGTGTGACAAAGTAGTTCATACAAATGCAACACAGTTCAGACAAATGGAATCACACAAAGGAGGAAGTGTGGCAAATGTGAAAACCTATCAAAGAATCAATGGCAGAAGAGAGACAATATCCTGTCTCTTTTTTATTGAAAGGAACAGGAGGCTGGAAGGATGTAATCCTTTTTGAGATAAATAGTAGCATCCCCTGCCCCCACTTCCTGTATAATCTTAATAGTGTCTAATCTTGTTGAGCTGGAGACATCTTGTGCTGATTATTTCTGGTATCTGCTTATAGAATTTTTCCTTTCTTTTGTTCTAGAGGATGCTTAGTTTTTAGTACTTTTATTCTTGATTTTGGGGTTCAGCCTGAACCCAAACTGAGAATATTTTGCCCCTCACTTCCAAAATGCCCTCTAGATACACTGTTGGAACTCTGCAGAGTTCTTTGATGATTATGTGGGGTTTTCTATGAGCTTTGGTACATTTTTCTCTATTAAAAAAAATACCAGAAGCAAATACTTCTAAACACATGGACTGAGGCAGTGTGGCTTAGCAGAAATACTATGTGTCTCAGAGACACAAAGAACTAGGTCCAAGTCCCAGCTGCCTTTTATTTTTTATTTAATTTTAGAGGCAATTGGGGTCAAGTGACTTGCCCAGGGTCACACATCTAGTAAGTGTCTGAGGTCATATTTGAACTCAGGTTCTCTTGACTCCAGGGATGACACTATCCATTGTGTCACCTAGCTGTCTCCTTTGCCTTTTATTTACTAGTTGTATATGACCTTGTGCCAGTGAACTTGACCTTCAATTTCCTTCTCTTTAAAATGGGAATAATAATACCTACTTCTCACCACCTTAGGCTTTCAACAGGAAAGACCCAATCTTCCCTGTGGGCAAGCATTATACTATATCATAGGCAAACATTTTCTGAACACTATAAGGTGGGCACTGTACTAGTTACTACCGCCCATTATAGCTGAAGGCAGAATTTGGCTTTAAATGTTTTTCTTTGATATTTTGTTATTAAGAATTGGCAACAATGAAACAGCACAGTCTTTTTGGTATTCTGGGAATGGCACAATTTCATTTTACTGACAGAGTCAAGCTGATTCTTGAGGTCACAAGCTCTTTCCGGTCATTATTTTACCATATCTTTGATGACTCCAAAGGTTGTTTTATGAAAACTTGGTCAGTTCTTTCTACTATGCTGTGAGGCAAGGCCAATGAGCCAAATGAATTTATTTTTTCTATGCAGGTTTTATCGGAATCAAAAGTGACTTACTTTGGTCCCTTTCTGATCAAGTTGACAAGGATTTTTTTTTGCATGTGTTCTGACATATCTGTGCCCCAGCAATTACTTCCTTCATCTATGATAAGCATACAAAATAGAAACCTGGAGGCCACTGTCAGCACAAGACTTAAGGAAAAGGGAGCCAGGAACATTTTCAGGACCTTAAACTCTACTATGGATTGTGAATGCATGTCTTCTTGTTTCTAAAAGATATCTTGAAACCTTTCTGGTAATTATAATAACAATAAATCATTTCTGTTCATACAATATTGTAAGATTTATAACATGTTTCACATATGTTATCTCATTTGAATATAATCATGACCTGGGGCATATACTCAAAAAGTTTAGCTTTTAGAATTATTTTGTTTTGATTTAATTTTTTAAATAATTAAAATCTCATAAGAATGGGCGTGAATACTTAGGATAATACTCCAGCAGATATTTTCTAGATGGTGACAGAAATTTCTGAGTGAAAACTACTCTCTGTGCAACACAATGTTGCAAGTGAATGATTTTTCAGTCCCTTGGGTTTCTTTATGAACATTTATATGGGATAGCCTTGGGCCAGCTGAAACAATAATGACTTTTTTTCCTTACTTCAAACCAAGTAACACTGACATTGTCGTGAAAGGCTCAGACCCTTTCTATTATGTATTAGAGACCACAAGGTGCTGAAAAGTAAAGTCTATCAAATACTTAGGGTTGTAGTTTTGGCAAAAGAATTGAATATTTTTTATTTCTTCTATTTTTGCCCAATGGAGATCTGATATTTTTCTTTTCTCAACTAGCTGCACTTTTTGGAGATTACCCACCTTTCCCACACAACTTCATCTTCATTAAAAGGCTGCTTCCTTATATGAATGGGCCCCAGAGCACACTGTCTGGCTGCACAGTTGGGGGTTGGATGTTAATGAAGTCATGGGGAGAGGTGTCTACAGTATGCATATCTGCAAAAATTGAGCTAAAAATAAACCCCAAACACTAACAACTGTCCCTCCCACTCCCCTCACTTCCATTAATAGACAAAGTCCTAATTTTACTAATGCAGCTAGAAACCATGAACCAGTTTACACATCGTAGTCAGAAAGATTCTGCTCTCCTGGCATGCTAAGGGATGGTTTTCTGTAACTTTTGGTGGGGTCAGCAGTAAGACAGGAAGGTCAACAATGAAGGAAAAGGTGAAAGGACCTGGACAAGGCTAAGTGTGGTTTGGCTTTACCTAGTTTTTGGATAAACGTACACACAAAAACACACAGATCACACTTTAAAAAATACATTACTTGTTCAATTTGACTCAAGGCCAAATTCTAACCATCTAATTCTTTTCCCCCCCAACATACCAAGAAAGCTTATAACATTTTGGAATAAAAACTATTTTTCTAGAAGTTTTTCTATCTTTCCCCTTCCCACACACATGGATGGCATGAATGAAAACTGAAGGTGAATGATGTCTACTCAGGGCTATGCTATACTAAACTATCAGACTGTTTAAATGTACAGTCTATGCTTCCAAGGCTATAGTATTGGTAGATATTATATATACCTTCACCTAGCCTTGAGGGGGGTTCAGAATAGTATATGTATGTATGTATATATATATATATATATATATATATATATATATATATACACACACACACATATATATATGCATACACAATGCATATATGCATATTTATACATACATATAATAGTTTATCTAGAGAGACAACAGATTCAAAGTTGTTCAATTAAAAGGACTCCCTGCCCAAGAGCACTGAACGAAATATGGATCTACAGATTCTTGGAAGGACTCGATTAGCTTAAAATCAATTGATATGGCACTATCTTTGGGGTCCTCCCAAACCTCCTGTTAATTGACCTTCCGAGTAAAAATATAAACCACAACCTAACCTGAACAACATTCAGAAATCATCTACCTAATCTTTAAGCAATGATTCCTCTACCACGTATTCCAAAATTCATCGTTCTGAAATTACTTTTCCAAATAGAATAGCCCGTGGCCTCGTTGGGACCAGTTCCCACACACACTTAGGATTTGATGTTTACATCCCACTGTTTCTGCTGGAAATCAAGTAGGCTGAAAACTGACCATAGAAACTAAAGCGTGGTATCATATTTAACTTTTTCTGTCTTTATTTTAAAAGATATAAGATGAACTTTCTTTTCTTAATTTTCTAACATGTTTGATGTTATTTTAAAAGAGCTCACATTTTCAGTATGTTTTCAGATGACAAACAAATGCTATTAATTCTTTTTGATTACTAACAGAAACACACAAATATACACATATACACACATCCTCATTTTTTGAACTGAAGTAATGGGGTTCTACAAGAAGCAGGAATATTGCTTTTTCAATGACCTATCTAATGTCATATGTCAACTGTATGCCAATATCTTCCCAAATTTCCTCAACCACTGGGATGGGCTAAACCAGGAACTGTTTTCTGAAGAAGTGGGAAGGTTTAATTCTTTAATGTGTGATCTTCTAGCTGAGACAATTCTTTATTCTTGTGATAAGGAGGAAAAGCTATTGCTCCTTCCTCCTTCTCTCCTATATGAAAAAAAAAGTTCTTTGGTTCATGTGTACCTTTCTTTCTTTCTTTCTTTCTGCACACATATAACACTGTCAGAAAGGAGGTTTAAACAAGTCTGTTGCCCAGAAATCTCTCACTGCTGATCCAGCCAGTGCTGGGGAGAACAATTTTCCAAGAGAAAGTTAATATTTCCAATAGGAATAGTGCCCTATAGAAACTTTGCTAGGAACTAAACAAGTATACACCGAGGGATTTTGATCATCAAGCTGACAGTAGCTTAGTTTGTAGAATAGGCAAATCATTCTGTTTTTTGGATGAGAAAGAAGGTCAAATATTCTTTTCCTTCTAATTCTGTCAGGCATAATTATTACATATGCACACACACACACACAGACATACAGACACAGACACACACACACACAAAGACACACACGCACATGCCCAGGTCAAATACTATAGGAGTTTTAAAAGCTGGATGCAATAAAGTGCTCGACACTAGGGAGAACTCTTCAAAGGCTATAAAAATTGACTTTTCTGTTTGAGCAAGACTTTCATCTCTCTTTCTTCCATGACAAGGCAGACTATTACAGCAATTATAGGGAGAGCGGTGAAGCCTGGCTGAAACCTTTCTGCGCATGCATGCAATAATGACTAATCTCTGAGCTGGTGGGCTCTGCTTTCATTCTTTCCAGCTCATAGAGACAAATTCTCAACATTAAATGCGAATTTTCCATTTACAACTATGGACCCGAGCAAATGTTTCTCAGCTGAACCAGAAGCAGTGCAAGATGCTATATCCTGCTGGGGTTAAGCTTACAAGGCAGAACTAATCTGCAACTAGGAATTTACCATAGCCATTGACATAAATATATCATGGGTATGCACACAAGTAATGGAGCCTATTCTAATGCAATTAACTACCAATTTAGTTTTAAAACAATGCTAAAATAATACCCTATAATAACCACTGTTTAATTTGAACTGCTAATTGATCACATTAGAGAGACTACTTACAAAACTAATTCAGCCTGTTTAAACTTTACATTGGGAGAACAGCCACTGCGAAGTGATCAGCAATGTCAAAACCAGCACTATAACACAAAGGAGGCAAACATCTGGAGCTGAGCTGTTATCTGCAAAGCTGTCTTTAGCTTACTATAAGTGACAATTCAAGCTGACAAATACTTATAGGGGACTAAGCTGCAGCAACAAGAAGGGATAGAAGAGATAGGAGCATCTCTTTCTCTCAAAAAGAATTTGCAGAGTAAAAGGAGTGAGGCAGTTCCCTTTTGTCCACAGATTTACAAACAAATACAAAAAATAAATAATATGCAAAGACATTACATATGAAAATACTGTTCCCATTTGGGTCAATAACATATACATATAGCATGCCTACATATAGAGAATGGAAAGTCTTCTTCATTCACAGACAGGAAATACGGCAGTGCACTATCAGAATGCTTTGATAATCCTAATTTTTGTTTCTGATGCTGAGATATAGCAAAGGGACTGCATTCGCAACTTAGTTAAATACTTCCAGTAGCAAAGAGTTCACTTTGTTCAGGTCTTGTGGTTTAGAGTAGTTAGTGTTCCTCTGCACACGGACCCCCTGTAAGGTACCCATTTGTGCCACTGGTGCCGCTGGTCCCATTGGTGTTGGTGGTAGGGTTGTGTGGGTTCTTTGCAGGAAGCACTGAATCTTCCTCATCTGAGCTGGATTCAATATCACTTCGGTCATCCTTGGACACCTGCAGAATGCCCAGAACACAATTAGCTCATGGAAAGTCACCTCTGTTGGGATCATGCCAAGAAGCTCATGCAGTCATACAGTATTGAAATAGATACAAACACTGTGAAACAGCTCCATCAGACTAAATGATCCCTAAGTCTCCCTCTCGTTCTGTTAGGCTATGACTCTAAGAATCATTTTGTTTTCTCATGCGTGGAGAAGGCAGAGAAACATAGCGGACAGCACACCGGACTTGAAGTCAGAAAGGCAAATTCAAATCCTGCCTCTGATGTTTGTTAGCTTTGTGAAGCTGGGCAAGTCACTTAACCTCTTGGGGCCTCAGTTTCCCCATGTGTAAAATGACAGGGTTGGATTAGACAGACTCAAAGGTCTTTTCTAGCTCTAAATCTATGATCCAATGATGAGATAGCACAGCTGGATGGAAAAACTTGCTGTAGGATTGCAAGATAATTACAGGAATCAGCTGTTAAAATAATGGGGTTCAGGTTTAGGTGTCTCACTCAAACATTTAAAATATCATTCATCAATAGCCTTACCAGACCAAATCCACCAGCTAGGGACTGACAGATTTTAAAAAGGGGAATCTATGAAATAAAATGATAAGATTATTAGCCAGACAATATTTGACTGTACTGGCCCATGTTGTTCGCTAAAGCCTGGGACTCTCATGCTGATAGATCTTGTTATGACTTCTTAAAAAAAAAGTTTGAATTTGATTTTCATAATTTTAGAAAAAGAAGCCATGGATAAAATAACAGAGTCCAGAGAGAAATACTATCCTAATCTTTTAATATATTTGTTTATTTCACTTAGATCTTGGTTAGTAAAACATTCTTATGACCTTAACACACATATAAATTATTGGTCAGAAAATGGGTAGATGGAAGGTTTAAGCTAGTTAAGGAAGAAATGCTGTAGTTGTGTTTTAAAGAAGTCTTGCCTCCAGGAAAAATGGGGTCTGAAACTTCAGTAATCATGGATTACGAGAAGACATAAGCGGATCTAGGCATATTCTGTGGGGTTCAATTTTTTCACAAGAGGCAATTTTAAAAGTTATTTAAGTTTGGGGAGGTGGGGGTGGGGAAACAACTCTAAGAAAAGACTTAAAATACTATGGCTAGAATCCCATCCTTATATACTCTCCTATACCTAAGTGCTTAAGAATGCTTAACTTTATTAGTAGAGTCAGCTGATCCTGAATAAATAAAGTTTGGGAAATAACCTAGACCCTGTAACTCCTTTCTAGTGGGGGGAAAAAATGAAGCAAGCCTGCTGCCTTGAAAATCTTCCTACTAGCTTGGTACAATGTAAATCTGTCTAATCTTGTTCATTACTCCTAACGCCATCTATTCAAAACTGAAGCTTACTCATTTATAATAACTACACTGTAACCTATGACACTATTTGATATAAAGCTCATCTATAATGGTCCCCCAAATTGAGAAGGTTTAGTTCTTCAAATACCTAAAGGATGTCATCAGTTTATTTTACCTGTAAGATAAAATATGGCATAGGTCCCCAGCATATTAAAATTAAGCTCTAGGATATGTTTTTCCCCCATTTATCATACATGCTACTACAAATAAAAAGAATCTACATTTGCAGGCTTGAGGAGTTTGGGCTAAATTATATTAGGAAAAATCTATATAAATGCTACCTTCAGAGAACAAAGTAATATAGGACACCAGATTCACTTCTTCCCTCTGGGAAACACAAATCTCTAAGTCATGCTTGAGAAGAAATCTTAATGCCACAGATGAGCTGGGAACAGCAGCTAAGATGCTCTCAAGCATGATATCTGTAGTGAGACTAATGCCCATCTCTTCATAAAATGGGAGAAAAAACCAAAGAGGATTACAAGTCTGATAGAATAGCAAGTAATAAGGATAAAAGTAATTCAATTGGTGTTGTCCTAGAACTTTTCGTTCACACAACCGTCTGGGCTGTTAATTTTTTTTCCTCCTAAATGAGGACTTTAAACAAAAGTAAAGCCGTTTTGGATAATGGAATTTAAATTTTCCAACCCTTAGGTTTAATGCATACATTTAACCTTTACAAAGGAGTTGGTCACCTGTTTTCTTAGCAAACTTAGATGGCTGATTTTAGTCTTCCCTGGAGAAAATTCCAGCACTGTGTTATCCCTAGATAATAACCCTGGAGAGGATGGAGAAGTATAACATTGGATGGCAGGCAGAGAATCCACAGAAGATCTGGCATTGGGTCTCAGAAATCCTGTCTCCTAACCTTGTGCTTGGTCCTGAGTATTGTGCTCTGTTATTCTCCTCTGAAGAACGAGTAATGTCATGATCTAAAGCCCAGCATTTTCTACTTTATCCTTGTCGGTTTGCCAAAAGGTTTAATGTGGATGGAACACATTCTTCTACATCCTGTGGTCTCACCCATATTTTAAGGATTAAAACCCATAACGGAAGATCAGATAGAGGAGCAAGCAATACAGGAACTATTCTGAAGAAATGTTGACTTATATTTATCCAAGGGATGTAAAATTGAACACCTCCACACTAGGTTAGATTGCAGTCAGTGGTGTGTAGGGGCATGAAGTGGATGTTATTCATGAGTAAGTTTGAGTTGGAGCATTCTGTTAATTCAATCATGTTAGAAACATATGCATAGAGAATTTTTTTTTTCTTTAAAGCCCCCTGTAACAGGTTATGGTCACTCAGTATAAGTACAGATAGAGGTGTAAGAAACTTACATGCAAAGGATTCCATTTCCCAGCCTTCCAGGATGGCAGGAGGAAGAGAACAGACAAGTAAAAAAAAAAAGTCACAGAGGATGTTTCAGAGAAATCACTTGTCAAATACAGACAGATGACTAAGGATTAGAATCAGAGAAGACTTCAGGGAAATCAGCCTCATGAGTCTACTGTAAATAACAGAGATTCAATTTGTTTTTACTGAAATTCAGTTGGATGATAATGCTTTCCTAGTATCACTTTTGAGAAAAAAGAAGTATTCAAAATGGAGAAAGAACAGCATTCAACTAATGCTCTTCTCATAAAGAGAAAAATGTAAATATATTCTCTTCTCAATGACAGAGAAAAAGCACATAAACAACATGCTATCATTAAATCTAAAGCTGTAAATGGAGAACATTTACATGTGAACATCAGTGAAGCAATGCTAATGCTTTCCACCATAAAGGAACACTAAATAAAAGAGTAGGAAAATACAGCCTTAAATTGACTAAAGTTTACATTAAGGACTAAGGAACAACTGTTTTGATAAAATATAGAACAATAAAACAAGTTATTACAGGATTGGAAGAAAAAATAAATGCCATTTCCCCCAGAAAAACGTTGGACAAGGTTGATGTTGCCTTACCTTGCCCTTGGAAATAGCTTTGCAAGCTATCTTTATAATTAAGTAAGACCAGAAGCAATTCAGGACTTGAATTAGCAACAGTAGCAAGTTGAAAACCCACCAGGATGGGTATGGTCCAACAATTTCCCAGCTTTCAAACAATGTTGTATTTAATACCCTAGAGAAAGGAAGAAACAAATAGTTATCAAACACAGCCCAGGTAACTTTGATATCACTGGTGCTCTTGACACAATTTAGAGCATCCCACATCCAGCAGATTCCTCCAATCACTGAGTCCCTAGAGCACTGCCTCTCTACGTACGGCCCACAGATCCACAAGACTGGGGGTTCCTTCAAAATCTAGCTGCTTAAAAGTATCAGTGTTTGCAATGTAACACTATCTGAACTTTTGTTTTTGGCATGAATAAATTATATTATTGCTCACTAATATTTCATCAAGGGCAATATGGCACAGTTTACAGTGGGAGTTCAAGTGAGACGGCAGAACCTAGGTTCAAGTTCTGACACATCCTAGCTCTGTGACCAGGGGCAAGTCACTTGGTCTATTAGTGGCTAGGGCAATTCTCTCAGACTAGAAGTTGTGGACAAGCTGTTGATCTGGGTTGTTGAAAGGAGCTCACCAATGAAATCATATGAACAAAATCTCATTGATAAAATCATAGGCTCAGACCAAAATTATTTTTCATTAAACACAACATTATTGTTCTCATTATTTCTAATGACCACTTTCTGTGGTTTCAAGTAAAGGCAGTGAAGTGTTATGGAAGGAATATTTGGAGAATTGGATTCTAGTCCCAATTCTTGACAGTAACTGGCAACCTCCAGCTGTCTGGGCTTCTGTTTCTTCAATTATGAAATGATGGAGTTGGACTAGATAATCATGGTCCTAGATCTGAGCTAGGACCCTAGAGGACAATGAGCCAGCCTTCTCCTGTTACAGAGCAAGAAACATGAGACCCAGGAAGATTAAGTGATTTGTCTAATGCTGCATGGGTAGTGTCAGGGGCAGGATTTGAACCCAGGGCCTCTGATCTCAATATTAATGTTCTTTTCTAAGGTCCTTTCCAACTCTACGATTCTATAATTCTTAGTAGGTAGATTAGGTGGCATAAGGGTCTCTTGCCCTATTAAAAGTGGTCTATGTAAGGACAAAATTTGAGAACTGCATGAGAGATGGCTCAAATTGAACTGTCTTCATTTTGAAGATGGGGCAAAAGAGCGGAAAGAATGAAGAGGAGTAAGAGGAGCAGAAAGGTTTCCCCCCCCTTCCTCATTTTCCTCAGTTCCAGTAATTAGCTAAACCGTTAGAGGATGCCTGTTTGGGTTATTTGTTATAACACAAATTTATTTTTTGAACATTTTTTTCTGGAGGTGTAGACCACTATTCCCTGTGTCCTGCTGGGTTGTTTCTAAAGATGTGCACATACGCCAGTAAGTAACCCCACTACTGCCCAGATACCTGCCTTGCTGTCACATAGCAGAAATGGTCATGTCATCAATTACTCTTTCTCTGGGTAGTAACAGAGGCAAACCAGGCTTGTGTGATGAGCACAGCAGGGCATACTGAGAGCCCCAAGAATCTCCCTCCTCATTGAGCTCTGTCTCAGAGCCCTGTGCTTATTTTGAATTTCACAGGGGATTTGGATTTTTTTTTTCATTTAACAGAAAAGAAGGTTCTACAGAAACAGGAGTTCTGGCTGGACAGTACTGTTCATTTGTTCATTACAAAGGAGGTTTCATTAGATAACAATACGAGCACATGCCATGGGGATGATAGGGGTACTAGATATGCCAGTAAGTAACCCCACTACTGCCCAGATACCTGCCTTGCTGTCACATAGCAGAAATGGTCATGTCATCAATTACTCTTTCTCTGGGTAGTAACAGAGGCAAACCAGGCTTGTGTGATGAGCACAGCAGGGCATACTGAGAGCCCCAAGAATCTCCCTCCTCATTGAGCTCTGTCTCAGAGCCCTGTGCTTATTTTGAATTTCACAGGGGATTTGGATTTTTTTTTTCATTTAACAGAAAAGAAGGTTCTACAGAAACAGGAGTTCTGGCTGGACAGTACTGTTCATTTGTTCATTACAAAGGAGGTTTCATTAGATAACAATACGAGCACATGCCATGGGGATGATAGGGGTACTAGATATGCCTTGTTACACTAACACTTTCACACTAATATGGACTTAGAACATCTGCCAAGTCAGGGGTGAAAAGGGGCTCATACTAAGTTCTGAAATGCTGCATCAGAATTCAATAGCTATGTTATAGCAGGCTGTAGCACCTCTGCTATGCTGTTCAAAGGTAACAGGATTTCTTTGAAAACTGACTTGGCTGCCTCCTGATACACTTGGGAAAATATAAGGGCACCAAAGGATGTATCTCAGTGAGAAGCTAGGCATGAAAAATAATCACAAAATACTGGGAATTTAGATGAGAGAAATATTGCACTATTATATGGTCTCAGAAAAACCAATGAACTCTAGAAATGAGGGGAGAAAGAAACCAAAGCGGAGATCACTAAAGAGTATACCATTGTTTTGTCACTATAGTGGCCATTTATAATAGATGTCAAATGAACTTTTTTTGCTCCCTTTCTAGTGGGTTGAAAAGGCACTGATTAGTCTCTGGAAAAATTAATCAATAAACATGTATAAGTACCTACTATGTGCAATGCATGTACCATGTGCAATATTGTTTAAAAGTACTTCAGTCCTTTTCATGCAATTGTCAACCAAATAAGATATACAAGAATAAGAAATAAGTAATAATTGAACTAGAGAGATTACCTTATCTGAAAATTTGTGTTCAAAACACATTTAAAATAAATGAAAATCAACAGGCATTTATTTCTTGGGCACCTACTGAGTGTGTGTGTCAGACACAATGCTAGGCACTGGGAATAAAGTGCAAAAAATGAAAACTCCTTAATTTCAAGGAACTTACATTTAAATGATGCAGATGACAAGGATGTATATCACTACATATAAAATATACACACACACAAAATACAAACCAATATAAAGCAGTTAAATACCAAGTGGTTTGAAGGGGAAGGCATTAACAGTTGGGAGTCAGGAAAGGCTTCAAATAGAAGCCTTCTTGAAGGAAGAGAGGCATAGGCAAAAGCAAAGACAAAGGCAAGAAGGTAGTGAATTCCAGGCATGTGGGACAGTCAAGTCAACAAGCATTTCTTTTTTATTTTTTTTAACAATCATTTCTTAAGCTCCTACTAAGTTCCAGGAACTATTCTTAGCAATAGAGATACAAAGTAATTTTTTTAAAAAACCCTTGTTCTTCAGGGCCTCAAAGTCTAATGGGGAAGACAATATACAAAACAACTACGTACAAACAATATTTAAACAGGATAAATTGAAGGTGCCCTAAAAGGGATGGCACTAGGTTTCAGGGAGCTCAGGAAAGGCTTCTCGTTGAAGCTGAGACTTTAGCCAAGGAAGCTAGAAGGCATTGATTAGGATGGGGAGGATTCCAGGCATGGGAGACTGCCAGTGAAAATGCCCAGAACTGAGAGATGGAATGTCTTTTGTGAGAAAGCAGGGAGGTCAGTGTTTCTGGATGTCAGAGTACATGCAAGGGAGTAAAGTGTAAGAAGGCTAAGTAGGTACAAATGGGCCAGGTACAAGTGGGCTTTAAAAGCCACAAAAAAGCCACAAACAAGATTTCATGTTTGGTCCTACAGGTAATAGGGAGATACAGGACTCTGTCCTGGGCCATCTTCTATACTATTTCATCTGCTCTTACTCGAATCCATGGATTCAATGATCTTCATGCAGATGATTATCATATCTACTTATCTAGTGCTACTCTTTCTGCTGATCTCTAGTCTCACATCTCCAATTGGACACCTTGAACTAGATGTCCTATAGACATCTTAAACTTAGCATGTCTAAAACTGAACTCACTGTCTTTCCCCCTGAATCCTGCTCTCTTCCTAAATTCCCTATCACTATTGAGGATACCATTATCCTCCCAGTCCCGTAGGCTCATATTGTCATCTTCACCTTGCTACTCTCCCTCACTCCTCAAACCCAATCTGTTGTCAAGGATCTCTGATTCTATCTTCGTAACATTTTTCATAATATATCCCCTTCTCTCCTCTGTCACTGCCACCAGCCTGGTGAAGGCCCCTATCATGTCACACCTGGGCTATTACAGTAGCCTGCTGGTTGATCTTCTCACCACAAGTCTTTCCCTATCCCAGCCCATCTTCCACCCAGCTGCCAAAGTAATCTTCCTAAAGTAGAGGTCTGACCATGTCACACCACAAGTCTTTCCCTATCCCAGCCCATCTTCCACCCAGCTGCCAAAGTAATCTTCCTAAAGTAGAGGTCTGACCATGTCACCTCTCTACTCAAACTCCAGTGCCTCCCTATTGCTTCCAAGAACAAATGTAAAATTCCTATTTGATGTTCAAAGCTCTTTCACATCCTATGCCCCCTTCCACCACCTTTCCATTCTTTTTATATCTAACACTACCCTCTTACCCCATCTACTCGGAGATCCAGTGACACTGGTCCTTCTTGCCATTTCTCATACAAGACACTCCATCTCCTGACTGTCAGCATGTTCCCTTGGCTGACCCCCATGCCTGGAATGCTCTCCTCCTGGCTTTCTTCAAGTCTCAGCTAAAATAACACTTTCTGCAAAAAGTCTTTCTTGATTCTCCCTTAAATCTAGTACCTTCCCTCCATTGGTTATCTCTAATTTATTCTGTATCTTGTTTGCTTGTTGTCTACCTATTAGACTCTGAGTTCCTCGAGAGCCAGGGCTGTTTTCTGATTTTCTTTGTATCCCCAGGGTTTTAGCACAGGGCTTGGCGTACAGCAGACACTTAATCAATGTTTATTGACTAAATGACCCTTAGAGTTTATTGAATTGGGGGGAGAAGGATGTGACATGCTTAGAAAGCTCAATTAACAGCTCAGTGAGGGATGGATGGGAATGAGGAGATACTTGAGGTGGGGAGACCAACCAGTAGGCAATTGTAATACTCTTGGTATAAGGTGATAAAAGATTTACATCAGGCTCATAGCAATATCAGAGGAGGGAAGGAAGGGGTCATATTTGAGAGATAATATGAAGATAGAAGGAGCAGCTACGTAGCTCAGTGGATAGAGTGCTGGGCCTGGAGTC